TGCTGAGAGTTCAAAGGCTGTCCCACAGACCACAAAGGTCCATTCAGTGCCATGTCCTGCTTCTGAAGACGGCCAGATACAGACACCTGGGGAGAAGAACATCTGCCTCATGACTTGTTCATCCTTGCAGCTTTTAGGAATCTGTCTTTTGACCATTGCTGCACCCTGGTCTTTTAACTGCAGCTGCTGGTTTGATTTGTCAATAGAAATTTTAAATAGAGATAATCTTTCAACAGTTGTTTCTCTTGGCCTTCTATCTTTACCTCTTCTTTTCTACACTGAAACTTACACATCTTCTTTCCTCCATGTAACTTTACCAGACCTTATTTCGAATACACAGCTACATACACAACTACATTACGGATTTATTCATAACTTTCTCCATATCTGTAATGACAGGGAACAGGTTAGTCCAAACAGCAATGAAGAGGCCAAATTAATCTTACAGTGAGTTATCTGAACCACAGTGCAGATAGATTTCACACTTTTTGGGCTTTGTATGCATCAAACAGTGAAGATGGCTTTTCAGCAGTAACAATCAAAGCAAGCATGCATGCACTGTGTCCACAGGTGCTCACACATATAGGAAAAAACAAAACTTGCATTTCAGGGCTTTTAAGTATCTTTGTGTTGATCTATGCAAATATATTGGGATTTTGTCATAGCTGCAGTCAAGGTCTTGGTTCCCATGAAAATTAGCCATTGAGAAAATGAAATGTGCCTGCTTAAATTAGAATGAATCATTATGACATGATACTCTAAATCTACTAAGTCATATTTTGACACTATGCAGCATTTTGGTTTCGTTCCCTGGGTATGGTTAGCAGAAAGCAGTGCCATACTGAAGCTGTTAGGAAGCCACTGCTATTGTTGTATGTTCAGTTTTGAAAAAGAGGTGAGTGTAACATCTACTATCCTGCATTTCTTTGGTTCCAGCATTCTATTAATTTACTGATATCTTACAAGGCTGTCTGTATTAATGCCATCTGATGTTTCTAATGGGTTCTCAAGCTCCAACTGAAAGTTCACACACACAATTTCTGAAATAAATGAAGAGTTTAAAGAGTTTTTTTACTAGTTGTGTTTTTCCTGCTAATGAAACATCTAAGTTGTCATCAGAAACTAAGGTCTGGAAAAGAAACACCATAAAATAAAATATTTTCATGTCTAATTCCAACTAACTTTAACAACAGATCTGAACAGAATGCACAGAAACAGCAAATGTTTGTGCCAAACAGGCATATACAATTGCATGTTCCTTCTTCACCTTGAATATTTTGTGTTAGCAGTTCAGACAAAGTGTTTGGATAATGTGCACCTTGAAATTTACCAGATTATTATTATTTTTCTTCAGAAAACCAGCAATTATTCAATTTGGTAACTAACAGTTGTCTCAGTGACAGTAACTACTGTAAGTAATCTTGCTGATTTAAGTAATTAACAATTAAACTGCCTATCTGCATGACATGAAGAACACCCTTTGCAAAAATAGACCATCATTCAGCATGTGTTTTGAGCACAGTGAAATTAACACCCTACTTTTTATGATTCTAATGCTAGCACATTAGTCGTAGGTAGCCTAATTACTAAATGACTTGCCTCCAGCTTGCATGCTTCCAGCACAGATAAGGTTAAATACTTTCTTTTACGTAAAAAAGCAGGTTATTATTACTGCTTGTGAGGAGGAAGTGGTGATTATTTCAATTTAACTCCGTACCTTTAACTATTGCTGTTATTTCTTGTTTTTCAAATTAGAGCGTGCTCCTGTTGAGGCTGATGGTAAATGTGCTTGAAGCAGCCACAAAAGAATGTAACAGTATCACACATCCTCTTTCACATGATCTTCAGACCATTTGCAAATCTGGTAAGTACTAAAATAAAATAGGTGATTTATAATGTGTATATATATATATGATTAATGTTTTAAACCAAACACGTTAAGTTGGAGTGTACTTACAATGGCAGGCAGTGCTTAAAAACTACTTCTTGATCCCCTCCAAGTACTGAGAATTTTTTACCTTATAGAATTCTGTCTGTTTCCTGAGGTCTTTCTTTATCCATTGTCTTCTTTGGCTTGTACAGCTCAAATAATGTATTCATATTTAAGATTGTAGTTTAGTCTTACTTTTGAGTACTCACATATTGCTTTCATAGTGAAAAGAAATACAATAGTGTGGATAAAGTGGAAAAATAATAAGCTAAAAAAAGCAAGGCTTATATATTTAATATTCAGAACATAAGTATGTTGGTGTCCACGTGCATAGACATTTGTCCATATGTAGCATATGAAAAATGTTAGATCACACGCACACCATATATACGTGGAAATTTATTTTTAGTAATTACCTAATACATTAATGTTATAAAAAGCCATAAATATGCAGATTATAGATTATAAAGGTGCATACTGAAAGTCTGTTAGAAAGATTTAAATTTTAAAGAAAATTGCTTTTCTAGAGTTCTGATTCCACTTCCTTTGCAGCCAGTGCATCCTCTCACTAACTTCAGTGAATGCTGTTTTAAATTCAGAAAAGGAAATCAGCTCAAGAGCTTTAAATCAGGTTCTAAATCTGATCTATGTGATTCTGGTTTCAGTTGAGTCTTTCTCTACTACTCTCATACCAACCACCCTCATGAAGTTTTGCTGGACATTTGAAGTACTTTTCTGAATAAATGTGTTACTGGTGGTGCCTTTGGGAATTCCTACGACATCAGGGAGAGCACAGAGCTCTCCTATGATGTGTAGCTGTTGTTCCCTGAAGGCTTCTGCTGAGCTCTTCTGAGGGCTAGAGAGCCCTTCTTCAGTGCTCATCTGAAGAGACCTCCTTTCTTAGCCCTGCTTGCAAGCTGCAGGCATTTCTTGTAAATGCCTTCAACCTGTCTTCTTCTAAACATTGTACTTACATCTGGCTAAGTGGAATGAAGAGTGATTGTTTTATAGAGAATATATGCTCTCAGGGCTCTGTTTCTGTATTTTAACCATATATGTCCTAGAAAGATACGAATATTGGATATCTAGAAAGACATTTTTCTTACAACAATAAAATAAGTTTCTAAAATAATAATCTAGACAGGTGCCCATTTAGTGCTGTCTCACTGAAGAGTTACTGTAGTTGCAGCCAAGCGCAAAGGGTAACAGAAACACCGAGCAAAGGCATGGGCATCTGGCTGGCTGGGGTCAGAGGACTGTAAAGCAGCAGGTGGAGACTAGTTGCTCAAAGATGGGCTGGGGGGACCACAGCCCCACGTGAACTGTACAACTTACCTGTTTGCCTTACCTTTCTACATGTGGGAGACACTTTAAAGTGTTTAAAGCCTGCTTCAGGAGCTGTTAAAGCACTTTCAGGCTGTCATATGCCTACAGCTTCTAAAAAACAGCTTTGAAAAACCAGCAGAGGAAGCAGTGGTGGTTAAAGATTTATTTAAAGGGCAGGAAAACCAGAGAAGCTGTGATGCTTAAGCAAAATCATATAGTGTGGCTTTTTACTCATCTGCAGTCTTCTGTCATGAGCCAGCCTCCTCAAAAGAGTCATAGAGTTTCATCCTTACTGTGCTTTTGGAGAGCATTCGGTGCTTTTCCTCCCCAGCTTCCCAATTATATCTGGGCTGCATCTGCCCCACTTTCGCAGGTTATCTACCTGTCTTTCTCTCTCTCCCTCAGAATTCAGGTAATTCCCAGACAGGAAGGTTTTGTTTAGCTAGACTTAAAGTTGTTCTGTGCACATTTCCTAATTAGCAGCACAACTAACAAAAAGCAGACAAAGTATAGACAAAACTGTCATTCACAGCCTTAACAAACGTGGGACCTCGTGTCACCCAGTCCCTGCAATTACTGAATTGCTGGTATCTGCCAGTCTCACAGAGCAACTGATGGAAAGGAGGACTGAACTCATGCAGGGGAATGCCAAGGAACTACATCTCCTGCCCATGGATTCCTGTGTAAAATTAAACAAATCATTTAAGCCCAACTTTGTGCATGTAGCTGCCAATGGCATGTTCCTCATTTTATCTGTCTATGACTTTAGACTCTGAGGTCTGATTTGGAGAAGCCTGAGCTTGGCTACAACCAGAGTCAATGGATTTAATGCTTTACATAACTGAAGCCCTTCATAATGCTAAGCCCTCTTAAAAGTGATGTTGGGGGGGGGACAGGCATCTTAAACTGAATATTTCAAGTGGATACTTACTCTAATGACTCAGTTCTCAGGTTGTTTCCCTGTAAAATAAATATAATAATAATTTCTCACCACAGGGTGTTGTGCAAATTAATTACCATTTGTAAAATACTTCAGTAGCATCACAGTGATGAAGAAACATATTATTTTCATAAAGTGAAGTCTATAACACAAAGACCCAAATGCTGAACAAAGGAAAAACAACAGTAGTGCTCAGTCTGTTCATATGTTGTATACTATCCTTTACACAGTAGAATGCAATTATCCTGGCACTCTTAGGTTACCTCAGTAGTATAATAAAAACCTTCAAGTAATGTGATGTTAAAAGTGCTGAGACACACCGATAAAATGCCAGAGCAAAAAATCAAATAGTCACAGTGCCATATTGCTGTTATGGCATATACAAAGTTAGTTCTGTTTATTTGTTCTGTATTCCCCTCAACACACCGATTTCTTGTGGTGCAAAGTCAAGGTGAAATAGAAGTCACATATTCTCTTATATCGTTTATTACCTCCATAAATAAACATTCCATAGGTAAGATTGTGCTTTTAATGATACTGTTACAAACCATCCACTTTCCACAACTGCACCTTGTGCTGCAGAAATGTGTGATTTGTTGAGATGCTCCTCTGTATTGTTGATACAGTAGAAGTGATGAGATTCTTCTTTGAAGAACAGTTTTATTTTCAATTGTGGAAATAAATTGTTCACATTTCTTGTGCTGGTTCCCCAATCCAATCTACTTTATTTTCTTTACAGAAATACTTGGGAAAGTATTTTGAAGTTCTCAACATATTTTACTTTCTGAGAGGTGTACTGCCAAAATGAATTGTGTAAGTACTTAATTGATAAACTATATTAGTACATCAATAAACCAATGGATCTGGAAGTCCCAGCTCTTTGAGGCTGCTGGTTCAAATGCCCTAATCTCAGGAGTGATCAGCTGAAGAGATGTTTCTGACAGCAGTTATGCTGTCAAAGCACACTGTTTATTGGGTTTGCACCCTTCTAATGTAATTATAGGTTTGCTGTTTGTGGTGTGTGTCTCAGGTTAGCCTTCCTGATTTGCCTGTCTAGCTGAGTGAAGAGAAGTAATCATTCTGGAGCCCTTCTAGGGCCTTTTCCCATCCCTTGATGACACTAAAGGAAGTCTAGACCCCAGCTTCAAATTTAGACTTTTAAACTGTAAGGTATTCTGTGACACCAGACTAATCCTTTCTGCGTAACGTATTTAACGATGGAAACCTTTTGCCCACCCAAAAATGTTATCTCCATGTTCATATTTTAATTCAGATTTTGTGAAATTCCGGAGTTAGTCTCCTCTGCAGTGTTAAATGCGTTTGTAATTGGGCTGTGTTGAGTGGAAACAGTGTGAAACAGTGTAAAACAGTGTAAAGAAGGAAACAGTGATGTGGACTATCTTTAGATGAGTTTGGTACAGGCTTGAAGCTGAGATATGGGAAGGACTGAACAGAAGTATTACAGTTATCATGAGGGAAATTTCACTTCTATTTCAAATCATCAAGCCCTATAATACTTGTAAACCAAGTTTTGAAAGATTTCCAAAAAGTACTGTATTTGTATGACTTTGTTACCTATCATCATTCTACTATGTAGAAATTAGAGATTAATACCTCTGTGTTAATTGGTGACCTTTTCTTTTACAGACAGAGTCTTGTACCTCAGAATATCAATATTATTCAGACTACGCTTCTCTAATCACACAGCCTTGTTCTAAACTGGAAGTCAGGAACTTCACAAAAGTATTTCTGCCAGTTACATATTCGTTGATTTGTATCATTGGCCTAGTTGGTAACATCTTCGTAGTGATGACCTTTGCTTTGTATGAAAGAACCAAGTCCATGACAGATGTGTACCTCCTCAACATGGCCATAGCAGACATATTGTTTGTTCTCACTCTTCCACTGTGGGCAGTGAATTATGCTGCTGATGAATGGATTTTTGGTGATTTTGTTTGCAAAATCACCAGGGGTATCTATGCAATCAACTTCAGCTGTGGCATGCTGCTTCTGGCCTTTATCAGTGTGGACCGGTACATTGCTATTGTACAGGCAACGAGGTCATTTAAACTCAGGGCAAGAACACTCGCATACAGTAAACTCATTTGTTTGGCTGTGTGGGTATCATCAATTTTAATCTCCACTTCCTCTTTTCTATACAGTGAAAGTTACAGCTTCTCCAATGAAACAAAAAAGATTTGTGATCAGAAATTTGGTAGAATGTCTGAAAGTACAATGTTGAAATCACTACTGCTGTGTCTACAAGTTGGATTTGGATTTTTCATACCTTTCATATTCATGATTTTTTGTTATACATTCATAGTCAAATCCTTACAACAAGCTCAGAATTCCAAAAGAAACAAAGCAATCCGTGTGATTGTATTAATTGTAGCTGTTTTCCTACTTTGCCAGGTACCTTATAATATTGTTCTTCTTCTGACAGCCATAAATATGGGCAAAATAGACAAATCTTGTGAAAGTGACAAGATAATGGCCTATGCAAAATACACCACTGAAGCTGTAGCATTTTTACACTGTTGCATGAACCCTGTGCTTTATGCATTTATTGGAGTGAAGTTCAGAAGTTATTTTGTGAAGATAATGAAGGACTTATGGTGCAGGAGGTACAAGAAATACAATAAACGTAGTTCAAGGACAAACTCTGATATTTATCATTCAAGACAGACTAGTGAAACTCTGACTGACAATGGATCTTCTTTTACTATATAATACAATTTGAACACCATTACTACTGAAGGGCTCTTCTCACTGAGCAACCCATACCAGTGTCACTGTGCTTGTGACTGCAAGTCATTTAGGCTTCTCTGACCTTTAAGGGAGCTGCCATGGTCTACAACTCCTCTCAGGAAAAGAATTACAACAAAAGAATAACATCATCCTATGGAAAATTGAAATGATATTCATCTCTCTAACATTCACAGTCTTCTAAAGTGCAGTCTCTTAGAATTGTCAGGAAAATGAAGTTTGCAGAGGAATCCTCCTTGTTTTCGAAGGAAAAAATGCATTTCATCTGTCCTACATCACTGAAATATCCCCAAAATACTAAGTAAATTAACCAGGTTATGCCCAGGCTCATTCTACTTATGTTTATATTGTTTCTGTCTACTACTTCTCCTGGAAATCCTATTTAAGTGTAGGTCTACACTCTGCTTTTGTTACAGACAGGTCACGCTGTGACAATACTAACCTAAAGAGATGGTATTTTGAGCCAAGCATAGTAAGGAAAACAAAAAGAAATGAAGAAACAGGCTCAAGGCTGCTAACATAGCCATCTTAGGAGTTAGGTCTCATAGGCCCAGTACTACACTCCCCCTGCTCATTGGGACCTGCTTATACCAAGGCTAAGGCTGGTCAAAGCCAACAGAGAATATTAGAAGAATAGAAAATTATTAATTAAAGAGAACACTTAAATATCCATAGAAAGGTTTTATGACATCTCCTGAGAGTGTCTTCTGAACAGAGAATGGGGCTTTGGTTGAGAAATTCTTATCTTCTTTAGGCACAGGATTCAAGTTCTAGAATAGCTGATAACCTGGTGAATGTCTCTTTGTGAAAAGTTGTTTCTTTCTAGCTGAAATTCACACTCCACTTTTTTAAAGGCAGGAAACTGTACAGAACTGCAAGATTTGCAACACTTTTTGTTGGAACTTGGTCAGTGACCAAAAGTGTTGCATTTCTTGGTATTTAGCTACCATTAGTGAAGGTTTGTTAGGAATGGATTTACTAGCAAAAATATGCATATGTAAAATCTACGTTATATCTTCACAAATTATTAAGGACTGTATCTATAAATAGGAACAGTGTCTGACTTAATTAGATCAGAGGTTTTACTGAGTCAGCATTTGACTCGCTACGAATATAGGAATATTTATAATAAATGCAATTAGTTCTACCTGGCCATGACTTTTCAGCAAATCCTCAGTGGATCTTCTGCTCATTGAGTGAGCTTCACCACACCATAGCAGTCATTGTGGGATGGCAAAATCAACAGGAACAGGAACTGGAGGGCAGAGGGACAGGGTGGAGGAGAGAAGAGGAGCACCACTCTTTGGAGTCTGCTGAAGTACCTGCCAGTCCTCCACAGTTCCGCTGCATGAGAGCATCAACCATGTGTCTGGATTTGCTGTTGTGTGGGACATTGCGCTCCTACACTGTGTAAATTAAAACAGTTTGCAGATTCCTGTTTACCTTGGTTGTTTTGTTTTGTTTTATGTTCATGGCTGAAGACACAGTGGAACTTGGATTTCTAACCAACTTATTCAGTGACAGTGCAAAGGGCCAAGAAGGCCAGTGCTGGAGCTGAACATCCCTTGAGGAAGGGCCTTGATATGGCACGGCACGAAACGAGTGCTGCCTTGGGTGGTGCAATCCATCCTTGTCTACAGGGCAGTGTGAGGTTCTTAAATTTCAGTGCCAGGTGTGATAAAGATTGCATATTTTTATCATGACTGAATAGCAACTCAGACAAGAATATGATACAAAATTATGTAAATGCAGATGCATGCATTTGCTGTATATAGAACTGATGATATTCTGAAAGAGAATTCAACAAATAAAAAATGTAACTGAAAAGGAAAAAATCTCCTCAGATCTAAGAGTTTCTTGCTAATGTACTGCTTTCAAAATATTCTCTCATTCAGTACAAAATCACTCATATCTCAACAACATCGCTCTCCCTCAGAGGCTTCATGAAGGAGTGTGCCCTAGGGTGGGAAATGGATGACTGAAGCCTAGTGAGTGCTATGGTGGCTCTTGGGCAGCGCCCTGCAAGGCTCCAAGGCCCACGCTCCTGCTGGCCCTGCTGCCATGCCTGCATTGGCCTTCAGCCACTGAACAACCCAAACACCGCCCCAGTGGCTGCCAGGGTGGGGTTAGGGGATGAGGTGGTGGCCAAAAACCACTCGCCAACCCTGTGACTGTTATTTCAGAGAGGGCTTGCTGGCAGATGCCGGGTGGAGATCACAGAATCATTGGGTCAGAAGGGACCTTCAAAGGTCACCTAATCCAACCCCTTGCAATGAGCAGGGACATCTTCTAGGTTGCCCAGAACCAGGTTGCCCAGAACCACGTCCAGCAGGGATGGTGCATCCACCACCTCTCCAGGCAACCTGTTCCGGTGTTTCGCCACCCTCATTGTAAGAATGTTTTCCTGACATCCAACCATTACCCCTCATCCTGTCGCAACAGCTCCTGCTAAAAAAGTCTTTCCCCATCTTTCTTATAAGCCCCTTTTAAGAGATGGAGTTCTGGAGCAGGATGAGTGCACCATGACCTTGTGCAGCAGTTCTTGAATGAAAGGACATCTTCCCTTGGGGGTGAGAAAGGAAGGGGAAGAAAGCAAAGCCAGGGCCTTCCCCATGGAGGAGGCTGCCTCACGGGTCGCCAGCCCCTGGTAACCATGATGAACATTAGCAACTCAGTGCTGGGGTATCTGCCTCACACAGGAGGCAACACAGCTGCCTGGCTGCTGTGCTGTGGGAGGGAAAAATGCTCACTGGAAATAATGCTGTAAGGTAGAAAATGTACCCAGCTGCCCCCCGATTCTTGTGGCTGAGAAGTGTTGCTAAGGGAAGGGGGAATGTGGTGCATTTGTGGGGACTAAAACAGCACGCGGGGTATGAATTGTGCTGATGTCCAGGTCTTGCTAAAAATCCCACTTTGAGGTACAGCCAAAATCTTGGTAGCCATGAATGATCACCCTGTCTCTGGTAGAAACAGGGTGAAGGACAGGATGGGCTCTCAAGGGGCAGCTGAGCAGGCAGAGTGGCAGATCCAATCTATGGGGTGCTGGCTTTCTTATTCAGAGTTTGAGTGCAATTACAGAACAGAACTGTGGGTAGTTAAAATTTAATTTATGTGCAACACCTTCTTACTACTTGTTTGTGAAATCTACTGTAAGGTAAAAGTTCAAGACCAGTTCAGAGCAAAAGCAGTGGAGGAGGAGAACCCCACTGCTCAGTGTTCAGCAGCAGGCGGCTGCAGTGACGGGTTGGCCCATGGATGCTGCTGGTAGGCCCTCAGATATTCTCTTTCCTTTGGAGGACATGTCAACAGGACTGACAGGTGAACGGGTTGGTGTTGGGAGTTTAGAGCATGAAAAGAGCACAGATTTATAGGAACTTGTGTGTTACTTTCATAGTAACTTTTCATAGCTTGCTATGGGTGCTGTTTTTTACTATTTTCATGTTGTGGTAGCTCTGCAGTACACTGCATGGCAAATACATAATGAATTTTCTTTTTTGTTGCATGCATTTCATTGGTTATTTTCAAAGAAAAAAGACTTGGCTTATATAGGTCCATATTTCACACCAGTTTAAAGAGAGAAGTATACATACTGAGTCACGTCATGTCATACATGCAGAAGGTGCAGCTGATTGATAGGCTTTGAGAAGACAGTCATATCTTCCTTCAGCTGGGGGATGGGTTGTGGTATTGGTTGCATGTACAAGATCTCTGTTTGTTAGTGCGTTCCATTCTGCTTTTGGTGGCTCCATGGTGGCCCTGCTTGACACTTCCCATTTAAGCAGTTCAGAAGGAAGTAGGTCATCGGTGCACAGCGTTAAATAAAAGCATAATATCTCAGTGCAGAGAGCCTAAAGCTACATCTGTTTTCTGACATGTATCATCTTGGAAATGAACCTAATTTATTAATCAGCTCCCCATAAAAAGTGACAACTTTCTTCCCATGGTAGTTAAATTTTATGTGCTACCTTTTCTATTCATGTATTAATTTTCTTAGAAGAGTGATCACTATAATCTGGTGAACCTTCAAGAGAGTCACAGTGGACAAAGTCATTTGGGCCTTGCTACTAGCAAGGAAAGCCAGAGCAAAAAAATGGAAATCATATGCAAAGATAGATAGCAGTTGGAGATAATGAGTGGAAACTGAAGAGAAACAGGAAAAAAACAGTCTAAAGAGCCACATTTTCAGGATGGAAGGTTATTGGTAATGATTAAGTACATGTATAACTCTGATTTTATTATTTAGACCAATCTCTGCTTTGGATCTCTGTGGGGCAATCTTGTTAACTAGAATTGGGGGGTTTTGCTACAAAAGTAGCAAGAAGACGGTACTCCTAGCTTTCAGAATTTGGACAGAATTGGAACAAATAGTTCTAGATTAATTTAAAATGAAGATATTTTAAATATGTCAAACCATTTTGCCTCATGAAACATCTAAAATGCTTTGGCATTTCTGGTTAGTTTTCAGATACTATAATAAAAAGTGAGGAAATGATTTCACAAAACCACTGAAAGTCTTATAATGCTTTTAATGCTGCTGCTGAGCAGTCAGGACATTATTCCTATTACCTCCTGCCACCACCTGTAGGTTAGGAGCTTATACCCTCTTTGAAGCTATTTATGCAAAATACGGCTCTAAAAAACAAACCAAAGGATTATGTTTCACTCTTAGATTGTACTATAACCGATAGCTCTTAATTCTCTTCTGAGTAGAGTAGTTGCAGGTCCTTCAGGCTGAAGAGGGAATTAAACAACATCTCCTCTACTGTGGGTGGATGACACGGGACCTGGTGATAATGCTGTGACTACTAAACAAGGAGCTGTTCTCTGAGCAGCTTTGAACATAGTTAAGTTCCTTTTATGACAAGTTCCTTAAAGAAATTCTCCATTTTTGATTGAATGAACTCCATTATCTAACCTGAGTTAAAAAGCATCTGTGTTTTATTTAGTCAAGAAAACAAAAAGTT